AAAAAAAAAAAAAAAAAAATTATGAAATTTGGTTTATTTCCTCTAAACACGCCGCCGCTCCCGTCAGCCTGGCCAAGGCCCAAGCCCCAAATACCAAGGCCAGACCAGACTCGGCAGGGCCAAGCAAGCAAAGAATACTATGTTTCTAGCACAGCAGCGGGCCACGAGAATTATGTCATGCCAATTGGCACTTGCTAGGCACAGTACATAGTACGTAGCTTGTAGTGGGCTATATCCGGCGCCAGGTTCGATGGACATTGAATCACGCCAAGTCACGGATATACTGTACGAACAAACGTAGGTATTTCCCATATGGAACCCCCCCTTGTTGCTGGCCTCGACTTCCCAAAGTCTGGTGACGACACCGGCAGAACCCGGAGGCTCCGACAAAGTGTGATCAAGGATCAAACGTTCTCCGTCAACATCCAATTCCCTAAATGCCTCTACAGTATGTTGGAACCGACTCCATAACTCCAGAGTCCCAGCTGAATATCGCGTGTGGGAGATGCACTACAACCCGCATCCACAGGACCACAATCAAACATCCCATCCCATCCCATTCCGATCCTGCTCCATACTTTTCCCAGCTTTGACCCCATAATTCGTCTTCTGGAGCACCGCAAAATAACCGTCTCTGCTGCTCGTCTCCCTGCTCCATCCCCTTGGTTGCCCGGTCTTGGTGTGACGTCTAGAAAGACACTGCTCCACGATACCCGCCGCCTATTCCCCGTCAACCCACGACTCGCGGCTCGCGGGCTTGGGTACCTCATAGTCTGGGCAACGCGGAGCCCCCAGGGAAATCATCTAACCGTTTTGTTGTGAACCCTTTTTTCAGCTTTTTTTTTCTTTCTTACTTTGTCCATATATACTGGTCTTCCGTCTCCCACCCCGACCTTCTCATGATACTTTCTCCTCATCCTTTATTTATTTTCTACAACAGCAGTGCTGGTGTCTTGTCTCTATAACCATCACCAGGACTGGACTAACACAGTCACCATGCCTTTCCTCAAACGTCACGCCGACCAGGTCGAGGCCCCTCAGGAGGGTGTCAAGACCGAGGGCGAGCAGTCTGCCACCACCGGCTCCTCCGTCACCTTCAAGGCTATTTTCCTGGGTGTCGTTGTCAGTATTGGTGGTTTCATGTTCGGATATGTCAGGTAAGACGATACAGTTGCTCGTATCCTACACTATAGTATTGAGCTGACCGCAATGTCTTCAGTGGTCAAATCTCTGGTTTCTTCCTGATGGAGGATTTCGGCAGACGATTCGGAGTCTGGAGTGATTCCGAGCAGGCGTACGAGTTCAGCGCTTCCCGCCAAGGTACCATTACCGGTCTCCTCCCCGTCGGTTGCTTGTGTGGAGCCTTGATTGCCGGAAATATGGCCGATACCCTGGGACGTCGTTTGACCATCAGCATCTCTGCTCTCTGGGCCTGCGTTGGAACCATTATTGAGATCTCGTCGAATGATGCTTGGTACCAGTTCGCCATTGGTCGTCTCGTTACCGGTATCTCCATCGGTTCCCTCAGTGTCGTCGTTCCCATGTACCAATCCGAGAGTGCTCCCGCCATCATCCGTGGTATTCTGGTTTCGACTTACCAACTCTTCATTACTCTTGGTATCTGGACTGCCAACATGGTCGACTGGGGCTGTGCCGACAAGACCAACAGCGCTTCTTGGCGTATCCCCAACGGTCTCGGTTTCCTTTGGGCTCTTATCCTCGGCGCCGGTGTCCTGTTGCTGCCCGAGTCCCCCCGATATGCCTTCAACAAGGGTAGAGAAGACGAGGCCCGTCTCACCATTGCTGGCCTCGCTGGCGTCGACCCCAACCACCGCATCGTCACCGACCAAATCGCCCAGATCCGCGCCAAGATGGAGGAGGAGAACTCTCAGGGCAAGGCCAAGCTCACCGAGATCTTCACTGGCCCCCGCATGTTGTACAGAACCATTCTCGGTGTTATTCTCCAGGCTGGTCAGCAGCTTACCGGTGCCAACTTCTTCTTCTACTACGGAACTACCGTCTTTGCCGCGACTGGTCTCTCCAACAGCTACGTAACTCAGATCATTCTCGGTACCGTCAACGTCGCCTGCACCTTTGCCGGTCTCTACGTCGTTCAGAAGGTCGGCCGCCGCAAGGCTCTCATCGCCGGTGCCGCCTGGATGATGATGTGCTTCCTCATCTACGCCTTTGTCGGCCAATACAAGCTGGACCACAACAACCCCGCCGCCACCCCCACCGCTGGTTCCGTCCTCATCGTCTTCTCGTGTCTCGCAATCGCAGCCTTCGCCACAACGTGGGGTCCTATCGTGTGGGCTGCTGTCGCTGAGATGTACCCTCCCAGATACCGTGCTCCCTGCATGGCTCTGGCCACCGCGTCCAACTGGCTGTGGAACTTCATGATCTCGTTCTTGTAAGTGATTCTGTATCCATATGTAACGGTACCGCCTTGATACTAATATGAATTATAGCACCCGTTTCATTACCGACGCCATTGACTACTGGTACGGTCTCGTCTTCGCTGGCTGCTGTGCGGCCCTTGTTTTGATTGTCTTCTTCTTTATGATTGAGACCAAGGACCGCAGCTTGGAGGAGATTGATACCATGTACCTGCTCCACGTCAACCCCATCACCTCTGCAAGCTGGGATGGCAGCAAGGTTCCCGATGGACTCAAGGGCGACGTTCCTTCGTCGTCTGGCAACGACGGTGGTGTTGTTGAGTCTGAGGAGAAGCCTTAAATGTAAAAAGAAAGAAAGGAAAGCACGAAAAATGAGTGCATGTAATGAAAAGGAGAGGAAAAGTAACAAATACCCCAGCTAGCATTAGCTCTAGCTTGATATCACTTCATTAGCTATTGAGTTCAACAAGAAAAGAAAAGAAATAATTCTTGGCAAATCATTTGTCGCATCCAAAACGTGGTGTATACTAGTCTCCCAAATGCACATTTGAAGTGAAAATGGTCAATTCCATCATAATCAATCCAGTTCAAGGTCTATAAACTACGAAGACTAATAAAACCAATTTGGCCACGGGCGACGCAGTCTGTGGAGGCCATGTTGTTGAGGTATCACAAGGTGTCAACTCAATTCTCACAGAGCTGCACTTGTTACCGTCAACTCGTAGGTACGTGCCATCTCGGCCTGCAGCAAATAGCCATGGGTTTGATGTTAGCTCAACTGGACAAGACTAGCAAATGTCCTCCCATCCTACCATCGTGATACCTTCCCAGGCAAGCAAGACGGGTGAAAAGGTTGGCATCGATTTTGAATGCAATGTATGTGAACTGATTATGAACTCACT